TGTTTTTGATTTGTATTTTCTTAATGACAAGTGAAGTTGAGTCTTTTGTGTTTAATGACTATTTGTAGCCCTTCTTTGAAGAAATGTGGTATTCAGAATTTTTTCCCATTTTTAACTGGGTTGTTTCCTTACTTTTTATTTATTTTTATTGAGTTATAGGTACTCTTTAGTGCCTGGATACTGCAGTCATATCAGATATGGTTTGTAAGTATTTTTTCTTATTGTATGGATTGTCTCTTTATTCTCTTGAAATTGTCCTTTGAGTCCAAAAACTTGTTTGGCTCCTTTTTATAATTTCTATGTCTTTTATTAAAGTTCTCATTTGATTCATATGTTGTTTTCTCTCAATTTCCTTTAGTTCTTCACCCATGCTTTCCATTAGCTCCTAGAGAACATTTTTTAAAATTTAACATCTCTGAATAGTAATTTCATTGTCTATACTTTCTTAGAGATGATTTTTGTCCTGCAAGTGGTTTATGATTCTTGTTTCTTTGTATGTTTTGTAATTTTTTTAAAATTGAGATTGGACATTCTGGGTAGTATAATGTGTAAGTCATTTTTCCCATTCCTCAGTGATTGCAGATTTGCTTGTGGAGGGCTGGATCCATCTATGACTTTTCCAAACTATTTTTGCAAAGTGTGTGATCCTTGTTCTATGAGGCCAAAAATTTCCATTTGAATCCTCACGTATACTTTAAATCATCTCTGGGTTACTAATGACACCAAATACAATGTAAATGCTGTGGAAATAGTACATGTTCCATACAATGTTTTTCAGATGTTTTGAATCCATGGTTGATTAAATCTGAGGTCCAATTACACTTGATTCTGGTGACAGAGTCTTAGAAGGAGGTTGACCTGGGGTCTTAGGTGAGAAGAGGAAAAATTGGCTCCTTTCCATTGGTGATAAAAGAAGCTTAAGTTTTGTGGAGAAATGGGCTTTCAAAAACATAGGAAAGCAGAGCAGAGATATTCAAGGACAAACAGGCACCGATTTCTACTTCTCCTTGAGACAATAGCCTTATTAATGCCAAATTTGCTTTGAAATCCAGGAAAATGGCACTATTGTTGATCAATTCTCTCGATATAGAAGTATCCTGATTCCTTTAGTGTCTTTACTAATGAAATACTGTAGTAAATTGAAATAATACTTCAGTACATTTTTTCTCAAATGCATGTGACATACTTATTCTAAAACACAAACAAACAAATATTCTATTATTTCTGTGATCCAATAATGGCCTGACAAAGATTTCCTTAAATATCTGTTCCAAAAAATGGGCCAAAAAGGGATCTAACTCTCTTGGTGTTTTGATAGATACCAATAGTGAAAGCTGATGCTGTGGAAAGGACTGAAACTGATATGTCTATGCCAGTCCCTTTGGGCACTTCCAGACCAGTCAAAATACACAACCCCAGGCTCTGGGGTTATGGCTCAGCAGTAGAGCATTTGCTTAGCACCTGCAAGGCCCTGGGTTCGAGCCTCAGCATCACATAAAAATAAATAAATAATATAAAGATATTCTGTCCAACTACAACTAAACACACACACACACACACACACAGATTTTTGAAGATCATTACCCCACTGTCACTCGGTACTAGTTAGCCACTCCAGGAACATGGATTATCCCCATTGCCTCAAGAGATGGGAGTCTGAGGAAGGGGGAAATATGTTGGCTTGTATATGCCTTTCACTTAGGAAAGATCAAGAGCTCTTCCCTTAATCAGGCATGCCCCTAGTTGTAAAAAGTGTCTGATCAGGTTCTAGAGATCTGAAGTAGTTGATTCCAGTTACTTTTTAAAAAAAATTTTTTTAGATGTTGGTGGACCTTTATTTTATTCATTTCTTTATATGCGGTGCTGAGAATTGAACCTAGTGCCTCACATGTGCTAGACAAGTGCTCTACCATTGAGCCACAACTCCAGCCCTTCCAGTTATTCTTTCTAGCTCAGTTCCTATTCTGATATCTAGCCTCAGTGATATCTTTTAAAATGCAAATGTTTTTACTTTGATTAAGCTAACTTCATAAATTTTTCTTTAATGGATCATGTTTTTGTTGGCATATCTAATAATTCTTTACATAAACCATGGCAACACAGATTTTTTTCCTGCGTTTTTTAATGTGAATGGATGGGAGGCCTTCGAGGCAAGCAAGTCATGTTAGGACTTGTAGAGGAAGTGTGGTTTGGTGAGACTATTGAGGGGTAGGACATAGGCTATGTGGGGCCTGTGGAGGGAATTGGCATATTGATGCCCATAGAAAGCCTTTGGTAGAGTCAGTTTTCATGTCAAGAGGGTGGTAAGAAAGCCAACCCCAGACTGCATGCTTGCTGAGGGCTTACACTGTCTGGACCTGAGGCTGAGCAGAATTCCATTGAATGTTCTCATACCCATACCACTGACCCTCTGCAGCAGCTGTAAACTACAGGAGAGGTGTAAGGTGCCCTCTGCTTAGAAAGCCAAATAGTTTCATGTTTCTTTTTAAAGGAAAGGTTTAAAAGAATTTTATTCCCACAGAGCATATATTGAAGGATGAATATGGAGTTAAGAGGCAATGAATTGATAAGTTGCAAACACACATCAGACATTGTTTAAATTAATAGACCATGCATCATAGCTTGAAATTGTTTCTTGTAAGTATTCTTGGTCCTCAGTATACTCATTGTCAAAAACCTCCAACCTAGAGATCTTATGAAATAGATGATGAAGTCACTATATATGGTCTCTGAGATGAAATCTCCAGAGTATTTTAAGTAGAAATTACTTTTTGATGTCATCTATTGTTTTCTTTTGTATACCAAAGGAAATGAGAATTTTCTTTTTTTATTGATTTTTCTTTGGAGGGTCTTCTTAACATTATGTATTAAAAACATATATCCTGGGGCTTACGCTGTAACCCAGTGGTAAAGTGCTTACCTTGTATGTGTGAGGCACTGGGTTCAATCTTCAGCACCACATAAAATTAAATAGAGACTGTGTGTTTATCTACAACTAAATGAACATTTAAAAAAACATATATCCTAACTGCAAGAATGGAATCCTAATTAGAATACTTTATACTCCATGTATGTATAATATGTCAAAATATACTCTACTGTCATGTATATCTAAAAAGAACAAAATTTTTAAAAAGAAAAACAAATTTTCTTATTATCACTATACTTTTAAGATATATGGTATTTTGAATGTAGCTAAACCTAGTTATTTGGGAATTATTTGTAACTATATGTGAATTTAAATTTTTCTTAATGTTCATTTTTTTTAATATTTATTTTTTAGTTATCGGCGGACACAACATCTTTGTGTGTGGTTCGAACCCGGGCCGCACACATGCCCGGCGAGCGCGCTACCGCTTGAGCCACATCCCCAGCCCCCTTAATGTTCATTTTTATCGTAGTTTATACAAAGGGTTGATAATTTAATTGGAATCATCAGTACCTTTTCTAATTGGTCCATGATGCCCTTGTTGTACTGTTTTAATGGGTAAATAGTTTATATACACAGATAGGTGTTTACTTTGGTTGGTTAGAGTTTGATATTATAGGTAAAATCCTTGATTCTTATACAAGATTTTTTTTATTTGTTTATTTTGTTTTTAATTTAGATTTTTCAGTGAGAGATACTTTCTTCCTTGGTTGTATATTAACTCCTGCTGTAAGCTTTCACTTATGTAGCTATCCTAGGACACATATATACATATAGCAGTGGGGGAATCAGTGATGCATTTTTAAAAAATATTTTTTAGGTATAGTTGGACACAATGTCTTTATTTATTTTATTTATTTATTTTTATGTGGTACTGAGGATTGAACTCAGGGCCTTACACGTGCTAGACGAGCCGCTTTACTGCTGGGCTACAACCCCAGTCCCAGTAGATGCATTTTTATTTCAAATCATAAAGTATTACTGAAAGTAAACAGTATTTTAAAATATTAAATTATCTAATCCTTTAACCCTTTTATATAGGTTCTCTTAAACATTTTTTTTGTTCCCAAATTTTGGCTTTATTGTCAAGTATATGAATTATCAATTCAAAGCAAATATTTACAACTGTCATTTTTCTCCTAATTGTTTATCTCTTTAATATCTTTGTTAATGATTCTTCTAATATCTCTAATATAAGCCAGGTGTTCTTTTTTATATTTTTATTGGTGCATTAGAATTATACATAATGGTGAGATTTGTTGTTACATATTTGTAAATGCACACAATTTAATAGTCTAACTTGGCCAGTATTATTCCTCAGGGTTTCCTCTTTACCTTCCCTCATCCCTCCCCCAGGTCCCTTTCCTCTTCTGATATCCTTTGATTTTCATGAGATCCACCTTCCCAGCCCACAGTTTTCTTTTTCTTTTTCTTCTCTAGCTTCCACCTATGAGAGAAAGTATCTGACCCTTGAATTTGAGTTTGGCTTTTTTGGCTTAACCTAATGTTCCCAATTCTATCCATTTTTCTACAAATTATATAATTTAATTTTTCTTTATGAAAACCCAGTATTCTTTTTTATTTTTTAATTTATTCTAATTAGTAATATATGATAGTAGAATGCATTTTGACATATTGTACACAAATGAGGCACAACGTCTCCCTCCTCTGGCTGAACATGGTGTAGAGGCACACCAGTAGTGTAATCATATATGTATATAGGATGATAATGTTCATCTCATTCCACCATCTTTCCCATTCCACACTCTCTCCCCTCTTCTCCCTTCATTTCCCTCTGCACAATCCAAAGTTCCTTTATTCTTTCCCTCTCACCCGCCACCCCAAAATTACGAATTACCGATTAGCATCAGAGAAAAAACATTCGGTCTTTGAAAACCCAGTATTCCTAATTGAGTCTTGTTTGGTTAAGAAATAGCAGTATAAATAATAGAGATAATTTTATTTAAAATTATTTTTTATTTTCTTTGGAAATAAACATCATTTTAAAATTACTATTTAAAATTTCCCTGGTTACAAAATACACAATTTGTGTAACTTTTCTCTTTTTCAGAAACCTTTTCCCAAAAAGAACAAAGGAACTCAAATCAGTTGTCCATAGTGCTCCTGGTTGGAAATTATTTGGTAAAGTCCCTCCCAGAGAAAATCTTCAGAAAACTTCCAGAATCATTCAGCAGGTAAGTACTAATATGGCTATGTAGTTTACTATAATTTTTAAAGCATTCTTTTTGTTAATGACCATATTCAGTTTCATTTTTCTAGATAAAAATTTTTAGGGTCATAGATACTTACAGTAATCTATGTAATTTTTTTTTAAAAAAAGGCCACAATATTTTGATTATATTTTATGGTTGAGATAATTCTTTAAAGTAGCAGAACATTGATTTTCTTTCCCAATTATTCTTTGGATAGCTTAAGAAAAAAAAACAGCCAATCACTCTTACCAGATACTTTGATTTCCACTTGTACTTGATAACATTTGCCAGTCGGACAGATTTTTTAAATATTGCTAGTTGTGAACTGATATTATAGCACAAGTTGAGTAGATTATGCAGTTGAACTCAATTGTTTTTCCAGTGTTCTATCTAAACAAGGGACCTTTTGAGAAGAGTTGCCACAGTCTGTTTCTAGTAATTTAGAAACCAGTTCTTCTAATAACCATATTAATATCCACATTTTTGAGTTCCTGAGATTTTCAGATCTTATTTGACTCCTGAACTTGTGTTTCTCAGTACTGGATCAGTGAAACTGGATCAGTGTGCAGTGTTTTAAAGTTCATAGAAGTTATTGCCTAGAAAAAGATACATAATAAATATCCTGTTTTTCTCCTGAATTGCAAAATTTAACATAGCCAACACCTGTAAACATAATCACATTAAGGCAATAATCATCATTCAAATTGGAAAAAAAATCTTCCTCTAAGGATTTAAGTGTTCCTTTTATTGCTCAAAAGAAAAAAAAATAGTTTCCCAAGTAATATAGAAAAGTATTTTTTGTAACATTGCTTAAAAACATAGTAGTTAATTTTATTTACAACTAATTGAAATAGAGAAAAGCTTATGTAGCAGCTGAATGTAAAACTAGAGTGTTCCCAGACTGTGTGCTAGGTACCCTGGTGTGCAGCAGTTTACACACAGGGGAATCATGTAGTATTTAAACTTTTTATGGTAAGCTCACTATTACTCCACATCTGTCAGATATGGTGAATACTGGTAACCTGAAGAAGTACATAGTTTCAACATTAAATGGCACTGCATAGTTTTTTGTGACATCATAACTTTGTGACTGGTTTTCCTTAGGTTGCTGTGATAAAAAGCAAATATTGTACAAAAATTAGTATGTGACAGAAAATGGGGGTGATGTTGTATAATCTGATTTCAGAGTTTGAGAAAGTATATTGTATATGATAGGCATACAAGATCAATTAGTAATTTATTCTGGTTATTTAAGAATGAAATAAAGCTTCAACTTAAGTGTATTACTTTAATATTTACTTAGTGATAAGATATTAATTCTTATTAAATAAGTTGGAGATAACTACATATTAAACAGAACCATTATTTCTTTGTTTTGACTTAGGAGGTGCTATAAAAAAATTTGCTGAGGGCTGGGGAATGTAGCCCAAGTACAGGGCTTAACTAGTGTGCATGAGGTCATGGGTTCCATCCCAGCATGGGAAAAAAATTACTGAGATACTAAGAGAATTGTTAACCAATAAAGATTGGGAACCTCTGCTATTGTGACACTTTAAGTTTTACCTCCTCTTTTTTATTTTGAAGTCTGAAGGGAACTGGTGTTTTTCCAGAAGACCAGGTTCGCCCTCTAGAGGCCAAACAGTATTCTTACTATTGAAAGTTTGTAAAGGTATTCTTGACTCTGTCCATTTATCTTAAATATGCATGTAAAAATATTTTTATATCTATGTAAATTAACACACTGCAGCATTTTCTTAATTTGGGTCCCTAGGTCATGTACTGATTGAGTAACTGTCTTCGGTGATATTCTGTTTTCCTTTAATCTGTTGTTTTCACTTTGGAAAACGATGGCCTTACATTTCTCTCTTTTATCTATATTATATAAAAATTTGATGAGTAGTCAGGTAAAGAACACCAGTTATCTGTATGAGAAGAAGAAGTGGAATTGAAATGTGGTTGCCATTCGCTACAGTCCCTTCTCTGGACCTTTTAGATGATAATTTCTTCTAACCGTTTATTTCAATTTTTGAGCTTTCCTTTTGTGTGTAGGTGTTAGTCTGTATTTTTGGTGCCTTTTTCATATTTCTGTGTGTTGTCTTGGAGGCATGATGGATAGTCAGATCATTGTTCCTCTTACCCCTTTCCACCCTCATAATATATATTTGTCTTCTTCCCTGCAATTGCCATTTTCAAAATGGGCATGTTTTTTCTTTATAGCAATGGTAAATTTGCAACTTTGTCTCTGTTCCAACTTAAAAACATTTTTTCTCAACTTTGATCTTTGAATTCTGTAAAATATTATAAATATAAAACTTTAAGATTCTTTATCATGTACTCCTTTCAAGTTTATTTTATGTTTAGAATCTGAAATTAAAAAGGAACATATTACCAGTGAAGTCATGAAGAATGTTAATCTGTCATATTTTAAGATAGGGTCTTTGTCTATTAAGACTGTAGAAAATGAAAAGGTAGCCAGCAATTCAGGTGTAAAACTGCTTGAAAAAAATGAAGAAGTGCTAAAAGTATTAAGATCAAAATAAATCCCTTTGAATTTTCTAGGTGCCTCACTTGCTTTTTGAGTGACAAAGCAGTAAGATTTATTAGGATATTAAAGTGGTAATATTATTCCATTGTATAATAATTTAAAAAATGTTTTTAGTTGTATATGGGCTCAATGCCTTTATTTGTTTTTATGTTGTTCTAGGATCGAATCCAGTGCCTCACACTTGCAAGGCAAGTGCTCTACCACTGAGCTACAATTTCAACCCCTCATTGTATAATAATTTTTAAAGCAAGTGTTCAGAAAGAATTTGCTATATTCTGAAGTATGAGTATAATGAAGTTATTGGGCCATAATTCTTTTTCTAAAATTTTAATAGAAAAACCTTTGTAAGATTATTCACTAAGTAAATAGGAAAGTAAGCTTTGATTTATATAACTTTTCTCTATTAATTACTAATGACATAACACTTTATTTTTTCTTTATAAAATATAAAACATTAAAAGATAATATATCATTTCAGTTTCTTGTCACATTTTTAGACCTTTTAAAATTCATTTTTTATATGAAAAACATTATATAATTATTTTCAAATATGTATATTTTTACATATATTGTATTTATCATATATAATTTTTTCCAGTTTATTTCAAGAACAAATTATCACCATATACATAATAATTAATATACTTTTATATAAAATTTAACTATGTGTTTTACATAACTTTTCAAAGATACATAAAATTTCTAAGTGAAAGTTATACTTTTTTTATATGTATTTTCAAAAAATATTCCTTTAGTTGTAGATGGACACAAAATCTTTATTTGTTTATTTATTTTTATGTGGTGCTGAGGATCAAACCCAGGGCCTCACACTTGCAAGACAAGTGCTCTACCGCTGAGCCACAGCCCCAGCTTGGCATTTAACTTGATGATCAATTCCCAAATCACAACAACATTTATGGTATTATTTTTTGAGTATTATCACATGTGTTCTCTTGCAGGTATGAAATTCCTACTTGTGGCCTTTTGAACCAGTTCGTGAGCCATGATAAAAATTGCATCTATTAATTATAAATAGTACTTCAGTTATATTTTAGTTCAATTGGCCTGGGTTTTGGTTTTTGTAATAGAGAAAGTTGGAATACAGATAGTTTGCTATCTGACCTTCAAACTGCAAGTGAAAATAATTTCAAATGAGCCATGTTATATATAATACAGTTATATCGTAGATTGAGTATATCCTATTCATGTCAAACTGACATTCTTTCAGTAGAAAGTGAATATTATTTCTTTTGGGTTAGACACTATTTTTATATTGGTATCCTTCATATAAAAACAAGATTGTAGTACTTAGATGACAGTGCAAGTTTTTCAGCACATATGCCATTCTGAGTTAGATAAGTTTTAGTTAAGTTGTTACATCACTTTCACACAACTTGCCAAGCAAGGATAAAAAGTTTTAAAATACTGATTTCTTAATCTGGGTACTTTAGACTGTCCAAAAATAGAATAGGTCATTCTTCTCAGTTAAGCCTTTGATTTTGAAATTTTTAAACTTTTAAGAATAATAACATAGAAAGACTAGCATATATGTGCTTTGTGAGTAGTGGTTAAATATATAACAGTTTGAAAATGTTAGAGTTTAATTTTTCTGGTTACTAATGTTATTAGTGTTTGTAGTATTATAATATTTGAAAACAAGTTAATTGGTTATGCTCTTGGTGTAAAATTTGGATAAGTCCTACAAAAATAAAGTACTTTCTAACTCATTGTTAAATTGTGGAGAGGCTGGACTGTTTTCAGAATTTATTTTCAAAAAGTCCCTTAAAATCTTATACTCTTGCATGTTTTGTTTTCACCTTCATCTATCTAATTTGTTGTCACCTTGAAAGGTAGTGAATAAAACTACCTTTCTAGCTGCATGTGTGTTCTTTATTCAGAATTGATAAATTATGCATATGCTATGTATGAATAAAATGGCTTTCAAAAAAGTTAATTTGTATACTTTGAAGATTAAGAGATGAACTCATAACAATTCTGGTCCTTTGCTTCTGGAACATGGGAGATGTATTAACCACAAAAGAGGAGCTTAAATTAATTAAAGAAGACAGAAAGAATTCAAAGCATTTAAGTTTCCTGACGTTAGTCTAGAATTTTGAGGGAAACTTTTTCCTATTATCAGAAATAGAGACTTAGAAATAAATAAGTTGTAGTTAGGAGATACTGAAGCCCTGTTGTTTGATTACATGCATACAGTTGAATATGAAATTTAAAATTTTATTCATTCTGTCTTTATCTCAGTTTTGTTTATTATGTCAGGCTTCAAATTAGAGTAAACAAACAAAATTGTGCTAATAACTGCCAAAATGAAGTTTACTAAGGTACTCCTGTATATACCAGAATGATTAAATGCTTGAAAAGTCCTTAAAAGTATTGCACTCTTTATGTTTTGTTTTCACCTTTATTTACCTAATCTCTT